TGGGGCTCTTGATCCCTCTGGAGCATCATGGCCTTCAGGTACAGGGGCCCTGACCTTGTCCCTCTGCCCGGGGAGGGCTGTGCTTGAGGGGCACTGGCTGACCCCCTGTCTTCTCCCCTCTCTCCTCTTCCCCTCCAGGTTCCCTGGTCCAGGCAGCAGTGACTCAGTCGCCGCCCTCGGTGTCAGCGAACCCGGGAGACACCGTCCAGATCACCTGCTCTGGGATTAGCAGCGGCTATGCTGTTGGCTGGGTGAAGCAGAAGGTCCCTGGCAGTGCCCCTGTCACTGTGATCTATCTGAACAACAAGAGACCCTCGGGCATCCCTTCGCGATTCTCCGGTTCTGCGTCTGGCTCCACGGCCACGTTAACCATCACTGGGGTCCGAGCCAAGGACGAGGCTGTCTATTACTGTGGTGGCAATGACAGCAGTGCTGATCAGGGTCAAGGTACCTTGCAGGGTGGCAGTTGGTGTCTGTGGGTGCTTTGGGATGCTGTTGGTGAGGGATGACCAAGGCTTGGGCACTGCAAGTTCCAGGAGAGGTTTTGCAGGTGGTGGTTTACCAGAGACCCTCAGCACCAGGGAACCCTTGTGGGACCAACACTCTGTCCTCTGCATGAACACAGGGCCATCCCCACCAGCAACTCTTCAGGTGTGACCTAGTGTAAAGCTGGCTCTGTCTCTCAGCAGGTGAAGGAGGATGTGATGAGCAGTTCCCCCTCAAGGAGCCAGGAGGGAGCTGAGAGGAGTAGTGCAGGCAGGATCTGGCTGTAAGGGCAGAGTAAGACTTGCATGGAGGGGCTGTGTCCTGTGCAGAAAGGTGTGTAAGTTGGGATCCATGGCAGAGCCCCATCGTCGTGGGGACGCGAAGCTGGTGAGATCGCGCCATGACCTGGGCCCCTCTCCTCCTCGCGGTGCTCGTCCACGGCTCAGGTGCCCTGACCAGACTGGCTGTGCCCGGCTGGGGCCTTTGGGCACAGGGGCCATGTCCCCCTGCCTGGGGAGGGCTGTGCTCGAGGGCACTGGCTGACCCCCATCTTCTCCCCTCTCTCCTCTCCCTCTCCAGGTTCCCTGGTCCAGGCAGCGCTGACTCAGTCGCCGCCCTCGGTGTCAGCGAACCTGAGACAAACTGTCCAGATCACCTGCTCTGGGCTTGATAGCAGCTATGGTGTTGGCTGGTACCAGCAGAAGGTCCCTGGCAGTGCTCCTGTCACTGTGATCTATGGTAGCAACCAGAGACCCTCGGACATCCCTTCGCGATTCTCCGGATCCAAATCCGGCTCCACGGGCACGTTAACCATCACTGGGGTCCAACCCGAGGACGAGGCTGTCTATTACTGTGGTAACTGGGACAGCAGCGGTAATGATGTTGTAGTGACAGAGATGTGGAAGTGAGCTACAGAGGAGTTAAAAACGGAGGTTTTCTGCCCTTCTCCTTCTCAGCTCAGCAGGGCTGTGGGCCTGTGGCAGCTTCATGTCTCCTCTGCATGCCCACAGCTCTGTGTGTCGCCCTGATTCTACCATGCCATGCAGGCTATGGACACTTTGTGCCTGTCCCAACAAAAGGCATGGCATTGCTCTGTCACCTGCCCTAATGCCTCGTGCTGCTGGCAGTCACGTCCTCTTCATTCTGACAGTTCTCCACACAGGGCCCCAGGGCTCAGCCCTTCAGGTCTGCGTGTGGAGCTGCAGTCCCTCTGTGCCATTAGGAACTTTGGGCAAAGGGGCCATGTCCCCACGCCCAGGGAAGGCTGTACTCGAAGGGCACTGGCTGACCCCCATCTTCTCCCC